GCCGTGGGCCCGGCAGGAAGGGGTGTGGAAGCGGAGGGCGACAGCCAGGCCTGCTGGCAGGGGGTGTGAGGGAGGCTGGAGCCGCGCACGCCGTCGGCTCCGGGCAGTGAGCGCTGACAGAGCACCCGGGCGGGACCGGTGGCGAAACAACAGGGTGCGCAGGTTTAAGCGGTGGTCGTTAGTTAGTGTGCCTCGGCACCTCGCTGGCAGCACGTGTGCTGATTTCACGGCTGAATTTCTTCAGAGTCTTCGTCCTGTTTGTTGAAATCCCGTAGGTGACTGTGTATTGTCGAGACATGCGTGTTCGTGTGTCAGCATATGTCTCGTCTCCCAAAGCTTTCCAGACTGTAGTTAATAAAAATTTATTATTTCATAAACGGCCTTCGGATCTCTGTTCTCATTCACTCGGTTCTTGAACCATCTTTATTGCATAAACTGGGGAGAGAGGGGAGCTTTGGACAGAACCATAAAAACTTCATCTTGCATAGCATGGTACCAGTGAAAAAATGTCCCCACATTTGCTGCTGAAACATTTCTTGGAGAATTCAGTGTCCCTGTAGTGTGTAACTTCTGTCTCGTTCCACACTTCTTTCAGCTTGAGCAACGGACGCACTGATGAAAAACAGAGGAAACCATTCTGAAGTTTTAATTTCCCAGAATGTTGACTACCAGGAGGAAGTAAAAAAAACATGATGTAGAAGTGACTTTCACATTTTTCCATTCTCTGTTTTAATGAGCAGTACTCCGCAGCAGTAAAACGATATGCACAGGACCATAAAAGAAACAGTCACTCAAATCTGATTAAGTTTGACCAATGTATTTTTATGTGACCTTGGCTCTGTTTCAGGCTGACGGGTCCGTCATCGTTTATTCAGGTACATGGACAAGTGCCCGAGGCGTGTTCCAACAGTGCATCCTGGAGGGCCGCGAGTGAGTCCCCGGCAACGTGTGCCCACAGCCTTCCTGCCTGCTGTGTCCGTAGGAGCTCCAGTACGCTGATTTTCACTGGGTGGGTGCTCCTGTGTAGACACTGTGGGCGGGGTTTTTTATGTGTGGTGTGGTGAGCAAGCCCTGGACCATCTGCAGACAATTTTTAAGGAGCTCGTGAAAGTAAGGCAGAAAAGCAAATTTATTGTCACTAGGTTTGAGGGTTGGACTAGATGACCCACAGAGGTCCCTTCCAACCCCTACTATTCTGTGATTCTGTGACTTATATTCATTATATGTGGGCTGGCCCCTCACTGAAAAAAAAAAAAAAATCTAGGGAATAGCACATTTCAGACTTTGAAATATCACCAAAAGCTATTAAGACCCCACTGTCTGGTTTGACTCAAATCCGAGTTGATGGTCAAATTGCCTGTGATTCTAAGGAGATTATCAGTTTCCTTCTTTTCACATACATTAAATGATTCCCTATACAAAGGTGTTGTGACACAACCTACTCCACCTTCCAGGAAGTAATCTACAGTAAACCCAAGGTGAGTAATCCAAGCTCCAGAGTCAAAAATGCAAACATAAATTGGAACATGCCCAAGACATAATCGTCATTCCTGC